TGTGGCTGTGGATGCCTTTCAGCATGGACTTCTTGGCCTTCAAAGCTTTTGCTTTAGTTTCAGCTTTTGGAGGGGCAGGAGCTTCCCTCTTCACCACTGGCTCCATCTTGGTAAAAAGGCTCTCTCCCCGAATCTGGTCTTAACTAGCCTTCTGGTCTTCTGAACTCTAACCAGAATTTCCCACACAGAACAGCCTAAGGTGTTCCAGTTCTATTTTTTCAGCTGGCATCTCTGAACATTCCAAACTCTTCCCTCAAGGCATTCACAAAGACCTGTGAACCATATAGTGAGGTATAGCCACAGGAATGACCCCTCTTCTGGTACCAAATTCTTAGTTACTTTTCTCACTGCTGAGACAAAATACCCAACACCCCAAATCAAAAGGAGAAAGGTTTGTTCAGCTCAGTTTGTAGAGGTGTCAGTCCATAGTTGGCTGGCTCCAAGGCAGGATGGCACATGCAAGAGGGACAACAGTTCATGGCAGTGGAAGACAACAAAATCAACAATGGAACCTTAGCAGCATCTTTCTGCACCTTTTATACTCAAGCCAGGCTACTGGGATTAGGTCAGCGCCAATTCAATCAGTGGGCTGATCCAACAATGAGCCACTCTTAATCCCAACACCTTTAATGCATTACACCAACAATCACACACTCCAGATTCAGTCATCTCTGAAAAAGGACCATCTAAAACTGCACAATGCTTTGGGGTAACATCTAGACCCAAACTATAGCAGAATTGCTTTATTTTGTGACCTGATGTACACACACTTATTATTTCATGAAATAATAATTACCCCCACCTATGATGTACTATGATGTTTCTTATCTAATGTCCTTTGACGCTGCCCTTGACCCAATAAATTAATATCATAACCAACTATGTTAGTCAACCTTCCATTACTGTAACACACCAGAGATAAGGCAACTTTCAAAGAAGAAAGGTTTAGTTTGGAGGAGTAAGTCATTACTTTGCACCTGTGGCAAGGCAGCACATCATGGCAGGGAGCCTGTGGTCGAGCAGAGAGTCAATATACCTCAAGGCCAAAATGAATAAAAGCAGAGGAAGAGGCTGAGGTCATCATATCTCCTTCAAGAACACCACCTGCTGATGACCTCCTCTAAAAGATCCTAGTACCCCACCTCTAAAAGATCCATCACCTACCTCCCTATAGCACCAGCCTAATAACTAAACCTTTACCACATGGGCTTTGGGGATACTCAAAATTCAAACTATAATGCTAACCAACCATTGATTCTCAGCCCACAATGAGAAAATAAGCCAAAGAACATAGAAATAAATACAAGGTATAAAACCTGACTACAAATCAACCTCTGATTATAAGCAGTATCCTTAAAGAACCAGCGGCCTAGAGGTACAAGTGAGTAAGTCAAGGCCTGGCAAGGGCAATGTTCACAGAAGTTTAGGTGTTTGTTTTTTGTTTTTTGTTTTTTTTTAATTTCTTTTATGTATCTAGTACAGGGTCCATAGGGTGTACAGGATTTCACTATGTAGATCAGACTTACAGTGATTCTCCTGTTTTCAGCCTCCCAAGCACTGGGATTACAGGTGTGCGCCACAACACCCAGTCTAAAAGTTTAGGTTTTTGGTTTTTGTTTTGGGGAGGAAGTGGGGTGAGACAGGGACTATGTAGTTCAGGCTGGCCTTGAACTCACTATGTAGCTCTAACTGTCTTTAAACAAAGTAATCCTTCTGCCTCAGCCTTCCAAGCTCTAGGATTACAGGCATGTTGCACTACACCTAGCCAAAGTTTAAACTTTATTAACTTAGTTTTTTAGTTCTTAATATTCCAACATTCCTGTTGGTCAGTAAGAATCTGGCCAATTCCAGGAGTATGCTTGTTCCAGCTCTGCTGCAGGGTGAAAATTTTTCCTCCAAAATAAAAGGTTTTAATCCTCAGATTTTTCAAACATTATCCTATATTGGAAAGGGCTTTTAAAAGAAAAAATTTATTTATTTATTTATTTGGTACAGGGTCTCCCTATACAACTTGGACTCATAGCGATCCTCCTGTCTCAGCCTTCCCAGAGCTGGGATTGTAGGCGTGCACCACCATGCCCGGTTTCAGTGGCTGTAATAGCATGCAGTACCAGGGATCAATGGGTCCTTCTGCTTGCCAGGCAGACACGTAGACCACAACGCTATCTATCTCCCCAGCTAGAAAAGGGCTTTTGAGTATGTGATTAAATCTCTTGCGCTGGAGTATCTTGGGTTAACAAAGTGGGCCCTAGATGCAACTGTATGGGAGGGAAGCTCTTGGGGATTTGTTGTTGTTGTTTTGCTTTGCTTTTTGTTTTTCAGTACTAGGTATTAAGCTCAAGTCCTTCTGAGTGAGCTACATTGCTAGCCTTGTTTTAAACTTTGAGACAGATCTCAATACATTGTTCATGGTGGGCTCAAACTTGTGATCCTCCTGCCTCATGACTATCAGAGTACAGCAATGACAGGTACATGCCATCATTTCAGGATACATGGCTCCTTATAAGGGAAGCAATGGGATCTCTAGCCCAAACAGGAAGGGACAATAAGAAGAATCAGGACAACATTTGAAGATGCTGGCCTTGAAGTGATGTGGCCACAAGCCAATGAATGGCAGCAGCTATCAGTAGGTGGAAGAGCCAAAGAACTGATTCTCCCCTGCAATCTCTGGAGGGGCTACAGCTCTGTCAACATCCTGATTGTATTATAGTGATAATGAATTCAATCATCTGACTTCCAGAATAGAAAAACAAATTTTTGCTAGGTCACCAAGTTTGTAGCATTTTTGTTACAGCAACCTCTAGAATTTACTAGGAACCCCAAGAATTTGACTTATTAAGAGTCATAATAAGGGCTGGAGAGATGGCTCAGTGGTCTAAGGCACCTACTTAGAACAAGCTTGGCAAAGCATCAGGGACCACGGTTCAATCCCCCAGCACCACATGCCA